GCAGTAACGGCTATACCAAAAACCGACTTCCAGAAAAGCTTCAAGAGGTGGATCAAACGCTGGCACAAGTGCATCGCAGCCGACGGGGACTACTTTGAAGGGGACAACTTGAATTTTGAAAAATAAACATGTACTTTTCTTTTTATGAATGAATTCCGGTTATTTATTTGATCATGGTAGTATGTTGTCAAAGACACCTTCTTATGTAACAATCCGTAAATTTTAACCGTCGCNCGTTGTTAATGAAAAAGTTATAAACAATTAAAGTTTGAAAACTAAGTTTTTATTTTGCTACATTGCGTACAATTTTTTCTTCGTGATTTTTCGAATCTTTTTGTCGGTGTTGTAAACGTGTAGACAGGAGGGCTGCGCCCCCCTGCACGCCCCCTAAATTCTAACCTAACTCTAACCTAAACTTTTCTTTCTGCACTCTCCCACGCAAAATTTTTACTCATTTTTATGGATATTGTAGTAACACAGGTTAGGGTAGGTTGGGGTTAGGTCTCGGGGGATGGTACGCCACCTTGTCGTGGTCCTCGAGCTTGAGTGCCGTGTCGATCCGTGGAGCTATGCCGGCGGGAACTTCGGTTCCTGGCAGGGTCACCCTTGCCGGACAGGTTCACGGGAAGCGGCCAGACTAAGAGCGTACCTAGAGGAAGGAAAACCCCGATCCCAAACCCGGGCTCGTTAGCCAGGTTAAGGCAACCGGCCTAGGTCAGGTTCAAGAACAATATAAAACCGCNACTTCTTTTTTTATGGGATGAGCCAGAAGACAGATAAGGACTTACTNGACCAGGTTGACCGGACGGCCAGGTCTCGGCGCGGGGGGGCTAGTGTCCCGGGTTCCCCCGTGTCGTTATCCAACGACGGGCGGGTAGAGGGGTGCACCGCAGGGCCCTCTACCTATCATGCGTCTGCGAGGACGGACGAGGAGCGTCCGTGCCGCCCGAGGGGTCGTGCAAACCCACGGGTGGTGTCAGCGCGTGGACTCAGAAGAGTCCATTAACTCTGTGGAGTTATGTATCTCCACAGAGTCCTTGGAGGCCTGTCTGCCGGGGGCATCAGACGTGAACATGGACTCATCTGGAGACGAGTCCATGCACGGCGTTCTGACCACCGACGCGGCAATTGCGACCTACGTCGCTCAGAAAATGGCTCAGCCCGAACGCCGTGAGCGCCCACCAACCCACGGCAGGTACATTGGTCTGGGCAAAGCTAGGGAGCAGCTCCAGAAAGGAAAAATGGAAGAGAAGGAACGCGCCTTAGACCAGGTGCGGCAACAGGCGTACGCGGCGGCAACAAAACGCCGCTCCAACGCGGATGTCTCGGGGCGGTCCTCCGACACCGAGTCGGTGAAGCGGCTTCGGCGTACCGTCCAACGATTCGGAGGGACGGACGTTGAAAGGGAGTGCGAGACCCGCGCCACGTTGGACCTTGTAGATTTAATCTACAAGGCCGTCGGCGTGTGCGACGAGGTGGCGGGTCGCGCAAAGCGGTTGAAGGATACCGACGTGAAAGCCCTTAGGGACGCGGGACGAGACGGTTGTACAGTTGCGAACGCATTGTACGAGTGTCTGCGAGATGAACCTGGGGCACGGACAGCTCGTGTCCTGCCTCAGGTTTATAAAGAAAACGAGGAGCTTCGGCTCGANACAAAGAAGTTGCAAGACGAGGTGGTGGCGTTGACGGCAAAAATTCGCATGCCGCCACCACCTCCTCCTCTCCCCCCGGCACAGGATCGTCTGGCCGAGAATGCGCTGCTTGAGCGCATCTCGGCGCTAATAGACGCCAAGCTCGCGGCCCTGAACTTACCCGCTCAGGGTGCAGGACGCGCGGGTTTGACTAGCCGGGGAGATGGCCGCGATCGGCCATCATNGCGGGAAAAAGTACGGGGTGAGCCAAAAGCCAAGGCTGCCGCCAAGGCCGCTGCCAAGGCCAAGCCTAGGGCTCCACACCCGGCCCTATCCCAGACGGAGAAGAAAGCTCCAGGACCCTCGTCCTCCATTGCTGGAAGCGAGGCACCCTGGAGCACAGTGGTGGGCCGTAAGGCTCGACGGGCGGCTGGGTCAGCGGCCTCTGCCGCCCCCAGTCGCGCCGGTAAAGCACCGGCATCCGCCCCAGGGGCCAGCGCAACCGCGCAACCCGCTGGAGGCGGAAGAAAGAANAAGAGGGTCAGGCTCCGGGTGCCTAAGTCGGCAGCAATCACGCTGTCGACTGATCCAGCTCATCCCGGAGCACTGGACATCTCGGAGGGGATGCGCCGATGCCGTGAGGCGATACCACTGTCGTCAGTGGGTATCGCCCACGTGCAGCCTTGGCGAACTATGACCGGCGACCTCATGATTGAGGTCACCGGTGACTCTATGGCCGAGAAGGCAGATGCCCTCTCGGCAAGGATGAAGGAGGTCCTCCGGGATACAGGGATCGTCGTCNGCCGCCCGGCGCGCAAAGAAAACTTGCGCGTCTCGGGCTTCGACGACTCCGTATCCCCGGAGGAGTTAAAGGCGGCGCTGGCTTCGGCCGGAAATTGCCGAGAGGCAGAGATCCGTGTGGGCGAAACCCGGACTTTGCCTTCCGGCATGCGAGGAGTGTGGGTGCAGTGCCCCGTGGCTGCTGCCAAGAAATTGGCAACAGCCCGCACTGTCAAAGTGGGGTGGGTCCTTGCCCGCGTTGAAGCGCTCAAGGCCCGCCCCTTGCGGTGCTTCCGGTGTCTACGACCGGGGCACACGGGGCACTACTGCCCCGCGAGTGAGACGGACCGCAGCGGCCGTTGTTACCGCTGCGGCCTTAGTGGGCACTTGCTCCGGCAGTGTAAAGCTCCGGAGCCAAGGTGTCCACTATGCGGTGACCTGGGGCGCCTCTCCCGGCATGTGCTGGGAGGCCCCAGCTGCCACCCTCCTCCCGCCGCGGCTGGTGGTTTAACCACCACGTTTGCGGCCCCAGCCAAGCTGGCGGAGGGGGTGGCAGGGAAGCGCAAAAGAAGGAGAAAAAGCCCATCAGGCAAGGATACTCCACTTGCTGCGGAGAAACCTTCTCCGCAGCGGGGAGTCCTCGAGCCGATGGACTGTAAGTCGGCGGGTGTGGGCGTGGATCCCCCTAGTGGGAATCCCGTCCCTCCGAACTTACCATCACTCGCGTGCACGGAAGAGGGTGCTCCTCCCTCTGGTTCCGGGGGAACTAGTTCTCCCGGTTCTAAGGAGGACACCCTGCCTNCTTCGCAAAGGGAGAGTAGTGCGACCTCCCCGGTACCATTCTCTTCAGCTCCTTCCAANGGGCTGAAGATGGATCCGAGCAGAGCGCTCGCGGCTCTACTCAGATCGGAGGGGGGGTCAAAAAAAAGTCCGCCCTGGGCCAGCTTCCTCCAAGCCCAAGTAAGGGCTTGGTAAGGGTAGCCCAGGGGCGTATGGGGGGAGGGTCATAGCATTGAGCTATGTCCAATGTTAGGGGTTGGGTCCACCCCCTCGGGGGTGTTTGACCCAGGGCCTCGGCCCAGAGGCGGCGAAGCGGGGCTGTGTCCCCTCGCTTCGTCGCGGA